TTATACGCCTGAACAAAATGGCTTAATAGAACGAGATAATCGCACAATTCAAGAGTCTGCAAGAACAATGTTGTTAGGAAGCGGTTTGAGTCTTGATTGTGGCCCGAAGCCATACGCACTGCAGTGTATCTATTGAATCTACAAAAGATTCAAAGAATACACCCTATGAATAGTGGTTTCAACAAAAACCTAATCTTGAATATGTCAAAATTTTTGGTTCATTAGCTTATATGCACATATCAAAGATTAATTGTAAAAAATTAGATGCCAAAACAAAAAGAGTGTATCTAGTTGGATTCGAACCCACTATTAAGAATTTTAGGGTATATGACGTAGATAAAAAGAAAATAAATATCAGTTGTGATGTATTTTTTAATGAAGATGACAATTTTTCAAAAGGCCTTGCAGAAAATAAGTGTCAGAAACAGATGATCAGTTTAGAAGAAGAAATTGAAGGAAAACAAAGGAAATGACGACAATGATGTAGCAGCGATTCAAGGAAATGATAAATCAAATGGAGAAGTCTGTCAATCTGAAATTTCGCATTTTTCTACTTCATTAATTCCAAAATACAACCTCAGAAGCAGACATGATACAAAAACATCATCAGTTTACTCTGCAATTGTCATTGAATCCGAAACCTATGACGAAGCCATGAGCGCAGAAGGTGCTTCTGAATGGAAAAAGGCTATACATGATGAAATCGAGTCACTTTTAAAAAATAATACATGGACTATCATGGAAAAACTCAGAAATAGAGTTATTTTTGGATGTAAGTGGGTTTTTAAAGTTAAATCTAGTCCTGAAAATAATGATGTAAAAAGAAAAGCACGTTTAGTTGCAACAGGTTTCTCTCAGGAAGAAGGTATTGATTTTAAAGAAACATTTTCTCCTGTTGGTCAATATGGTTCAATACGATTAATGCTAGAGCTCTTACTGCTATATTCAATTGGAAAATAGCTCAATTCGACGTTAAAAGAGTGTTCTTAAACGGAGATTTAGAAGAAGATGGAGATTTTAAAAGGACTAGAATTAATGAAGAAAACTCGTTTGTCATCTTAACAAGAGCTTGTATGGAATCAAGAGCTTGGAATTCTAAATTTAACCAGTTTTTGAAAAACACTTGTAATTTTTTACAGTGTTTAGCGAACCCTTGCATATATTCAGGAACTATAGACAATAATATGGTGATTTAATTTTTTACGTGGATGACGGTATTTTACTGTCGCTCAGTAAAGAATCTATACATACATTTTTAACATGTTTAAAGGAAAACTTTGAGATCACTCTTGGTACAGGAGACAATTATGTAGGTATAGAGATAAAAAGGGATAGAGAGAATAAAAGACTCCTTATCCACCAAGATACCTACATTCAAAAAATTATAAAGAAATGTAATGTGTGTGAAGCAACACCTGTACCTATACCAGCTGATCCAAATAGTACGTTGGTAAAAGAGTCTGAAGAAAATAGTTATAATATTCAGTTTCCTTACCGTGAAGCAGTATGGTCCTTGATGTATGCAGCAACCATATCTGGACCAGATATTTCGTACTCAGTTGAAGAAGTAAGCCGTTTTTAAAATATACCAAACGAAAGTCATATCTGAGCCGTAAAGAAAATGTTCAGATATTTACAGAGACATCCGAGCCTGGTTATAGAATATCATGCAAATGAATTGCGATTAGAAGGGTTTATGGATGATGATTTTGCAAGAGACGTCGAAAGTAGAAAATCTACTATAGGATACGTCTTTATGCTGGGAAATGGACCTGTAACATAGAGAAGCCAACGTCAAAATGTAATATCATTATCAACAGAATCTGAGTACATAGCGGCATGTGAAGGAGCAAAAGTAGTTAGGTGGCTTAGACAGCTTCTTAAGGAAGTAAGTATAGAACTCTTAGGTCCAACGCTACTCTATATAGATAATCAAAGCACTATAAGGCTATTTTAACATAACCACTGCCGATTTTTTGTTTAATTCTAATTTTTGTTTATTCATTGATACGCATCATTCTATAAACTATTTGTTAATAGTTTCACCAAAACTGAAATATTTAACTTTCAACCCAACAGGTGAGCTATTTTGGCAAACTAGGTGGACAAATTTATTTTATTTTTTTTTATTTTTATAAATGTGGTGTGGAATAGTGTCTTTAAAATTATTTTTAATTGTTTAAAAGTATACCAGTTAATGACACAGGTGTTACGAATTTAGATATAGGTACAGGGAGGGTAATTCAAATGATTTGGCCAAATTATTGCAATTTAGGAAAAATGTTGTTTGGTCTATTCATGATGTATTTTTAATTTATTATCAAAATGTACAGGGGGGCCAAAAAGTACAAATAATTAATATATTTATATTTTTTGTTATATAAATACCGTGTTTAATATTGCTTTTTTAAGATTAGTGTAGATTCTGAGTATTTCTTAAGGCATCGTGGATTCATGATTCATACATTTAATAATTTTTGACAAATGACATTCAAAATTCGTATAAATTAATGCAAATTATGTTAGTTATAGCAAAATAACATTGTCTTTCCTATATTAGTTTTTGATATTATCCGCAGGGAAAACCGTGGTATTTTTAATAAAAACTAAGATAGCAATGTGGAAGTTATTTTTCTCTGCTTATTTACAGGACGCCATTTTAAACACATTGACTCTTGCATTCGCGTTCAGAAATAAAAAAAAGAATGAAAATTCAGATACAAATCTCAAAAATCGCCCTACAAATTATTAAGACCATCCCCAAACCCCAAAGGTAAAAACACATACTTGGAGATTTGAAAAAAGAGCCTGTCACCGCTGGGATTCGAGCCCAAACGACATTGACTGTCGAGATTCCTAGACAGCAATTTGATGTGCTAATTCAGGCCAAGCGCCGTTTCAGGCTTGTTCTCGACCCGAATTAAAAAGCATCGATAATCAAATTTATGAGAGGTAGATAATATCTATGAGTTTCAATTTAAATCTCTTAGACCGACCAAAAATAGTTCCTATTTTTTCATCTCGTATGAGTTCAATAGAAGAAAAACCAATTAGAGCTACATCACAAAACTCCAAATAAATTCATATACACAAAGTCAGTTCTTTCTTTAATAGAATATAGGATACCATAAAACAAACAAATTTTCAACTAAAATTTTTTATGAACTCAAATAGAGAGACATGACTCCTTTAAGTTTTAGGTACGTCTCTGTTTTGTTTCTAAATTATGATATTTCTTAGCTTTTCAAAAATTGCCCGAGATTATTTAAAAAATGTAATTGAACGTTCTTGTTATATCCAGTCATCGACATGAATTTTAATCAATTGATTTAATCAATTAACTTAATCAATTTCCTTAATCAATTAACTTAATCAATTAATTTAATCAATTAACTTAATCAATTAACGTAATCAATTAACTTAATCAATTAACTTAATCAATTAACTTAATCAATTAACTTAATCAATTAACTTAATCAATTATCTTAATCAATTAACTTAATCAATTAACTTAATCAATTAACTTAATCAGTTAACTTACCCAGTTAACTTAATCATTTAACTTAAACAGTTAACCTAATCAGTTAACTTACACAGTTAACTTAATTAGTTAAATTAATCAATTGACTAAATCAATTAACTTAATTGATTCACTTAATAAATTATATCAATCCATTGCTTCAAATAATTAACTTAATCAAATAACGTAATCAATTAACCTAATCAATTAATTTAATTAAATAAGTTAATTAATTACTTTAAAAATTATCTTAATTAATTAACTTAATCAATTACCTTAATTAATTATCTTGGTCAATTACTTTAATCAAGTAACTTAATCATTTACTTTAATAAATTAACCTAATCAATTAACTTAATCAAAAAACCTAAACAATTTACCTAATCAATTAACCTAATCAATTAACTAATTTAATGTTTCGTTTTGTTTTAGAAGAAATTTAAGGATTTATCTTTTTTGCAGTGATTTTGAACGTTTATTTTGATTTATTAAATTGTTTGTGAATTACATTTATGATAAACGAAACAGTGTATATATTTAGATATTTTTAGTAGATATACCGGAAATATCGTGGATATGTGACAGCTTCATCTAGGAATTTTTTATGAAAACAAGAAAAGAAAAAAATTAGAATTTTTTTTTGTTTTTATTATTAAATTTTGTTTACCTCTATCTTAATAAAAACATTATTAATAAGTACTTTTGGGTTCTAATTGACAGTGCTGTTCCTAAAGTGGTGCTGGAAAACAGTAACAAAGCCCACACTGAACACGAGGCTAATTACCTCAGCAGTTCATGCCGATGACACAAAAAAATTATAAGTACTTTTGAAACACCCTGTATGTTCATGTCTGATATTGGGCAAAATTGTGTCATTTAACAGGGATTTAAAATTAAAAGCATACAATTTGATGCCAATCATATTAGATGATTTAATAATACAGCTTTAAATTATAAAACAGGTAACTTAGAGCACATAACCTATATAAAATTATTAATTAACATTAGAGTAAAAGGTGTAAAATTTTCGTGAAAAACGGAAAAAGTTACAAAACGGACTAAAATATTGATAAAAAAAAAGTAGCTGATAAGAAAGCTAACTGGTTAAATAGGTATAAAGATTATCTAAATGGACGTCAAGAAAATATATTTATCTAAGTAGATTTAATATATTTTCACCATTCAAACAAAAAGTGAATAATACCCAAATCAAATAAAGAAATCTTGATTTATCCCAAACACATGCCCCGTAATTTTTTTTATTAAAATGCCCCCTTTCAATACCAATTTCAGCTCTTCCACCTCATATATATTTTCCACAACATATAACAGATATTTTTGTTAATCTGCAAATAGAGACATAAGGCAATACAATCTGCAAATTAGTCCGAACTCCATACAACCGAAATTCCAAACTTTCTCTCATTCCGCAATGCCGCTACCAATAGTGCCAATACCCTAATAAATATGAAAAAGCGGAATGGTCGGGGGTGGGTAAGTTACACAGGGCAGCTGGCTGAATAAAAGAGCTGGCGACAAACCTTAGGGGGTCGTAACCCCTCCCGCTCATACTTTTAGGGGTACAGTTGACAATGTTCGACATCAATCCGAACGTGCCTGGACCGAAGGCCAGATTTAGTTGCAATTTCATGTCAAACTGAGATCTGAGTGTTTCGTGCGTGATAAGTATACCATGAGTGCTTCTACTGACTTTTCCTGTGATTATTGGAATCCTAATCATTACTATCGGTAAATACCTATATTCAATTATAATTGCTTTATAAAAAGAGAAACATGTAATTAAAGTTACTATCTATCTATTGTTCAATACAACATTGAATCGTATCAGTCTAAAGGATAAACTAAATATTTGTATTGATTCTTAACTAAATTAATGTAGAATATTAATTAAATATTAATTAAATTCAATTAATAATGAATAAAATGTATTAAAACAAAAGTAAGTTATTTTTAATAATTATTTTTTATATTAATAAACAGCGATACACCAATAGGTTATTATGGCACAAGTTTGATAGTTCTCTTAGTTTGTCTAAATAAAAAATTTCACTTTTTAATTACCAATATTTGCTTAAGAGTATTTCTTAAATTACGATATACAGCGTGTCCAAGAGACAAAATGTAAATACAAAACAAAAATTCCTTAACTTAGCTCAGCAAAAACTCAATTTAATTTACATTTGTTTTTAGAAATGATTTTAAAATTTATTCTAGAGTAAACTTTGTTCATGTTAAGACATATCGACAACGGTATATTATTGTAATTTATTTAGAAGTAAGATTTATGAGGTTATAACGAACAGAGTTTTAGTTTTAAAACAAACAAAAAATGTTTTCGATAATATAATTTAAGAAAAAGCCGCAGTGTTTCCATGATTCGATTTTTTTTGCAATTACACCTATAGGGGCACTTTCCGTGAACATACCTTATAAATATAAGTATATACAACGAGTGAAGTATAATTAGAATTACTAGATTTTATTTAAAATCCTTGATAAAACGGTTTTAATTATTTTGGTGTGGAGTCAAGGGGAAGGGATAAGGAGGAGGGGACATCAGTGGTTAAAATTTGCAACTTCGGATTCAAATTCCACCATTAATAAATTAATTCCAATGGTCAGAGATTCAATGCTCGATTATTCAACATTGGGTACTAATTACTAGTACTGTTCCTAAAGTCTAGGCATAATACAACACAAATTCCAATATAATCAAACATATTTAACTTACTAATTTAAAAACTTACAATGTCTATATCTCATGAACTAAAGATAATATCAGGAGAAAAAACATAATAAAAATAATATTTATTTTTTACTCATGGACTGGAAATATTTAAAAATATTTCATTCTTCTTTTTAAATAAGTTTTTAAATATTTTCAGATATTATCTTTAGTTCATTAGATAGCCATTGTAAGTTTTTAAATTGTCACTGTGTATGGTTTGGCGAATGGACCTTACGTACCTACTGATAAAAAATTTAGTTTTATGTTTAATAATGAGTTTAACGGTATGGGTGGCTCAGTAATTAAAGTATAATCCAAGAGACCCGTGTTTAAATCCCGCCGGTAACAGGATTTTTATTTAATTTTATTTAATTAAAAATTAATCCATAAAATACACAGGATTCCCTACTCGGCCATTCACTGTTGGATACTAATTGACAGTGCTGTTCCTAAAGTGGCGCTGGGACACATTAACAAAGCCTACTCAGAACACGAAACAAATAATCTTAGTGGTTGATGCCAATGACACCAAATTAAAAAACTAATGGGTTTATAATTATTAATAGACTAATAGTCATCAATTATAATTATTGATATATAGAAAATCCAGACAGTGACGGCTTGTAACCAAAAGATTGATAAGATGATCCTAATCGTAGACTCGAATTTTGCGAACGAATTATGGCTTCTATCGTTGATGGACAAATTTCTTTGGAATGGGTACTGTTTTCTGATGAAGCTACGTTCACATTACATGGGCACGTCAATCGGCAGAAGTGCCATTATTGGGCTGATTAAAATCCCCGTTGGATGCGTGAATGCCATACGCAAAGGCCTCAAAAAACAAACGTCTGTGCTGGAATTATTGGAGATCGCATAGTAGGGCCTTTTTTTTCAATAGAAACGTAACCGGAGAAACATACCACCTTACTATGCTTCAAGAACAACTGATTCCTACTATAGTGAATTTATTCCCCAATAATGTGCATGCGAACTTATTTGACCAACGGATGTGATTTCAACAAGATGGGGCACCACCACATTTTACGAAGTGTTTCCAAATAGGTGGATTGGAAGAAGGGGACTAATTGACTGGCCAGCAAGATCACCTGATCTAACTCCATTAAATATTTTTTATGGGGACATCTAAAGAGCAAGGGTTATGCCACTAAACCTAACGACATCATCGAACCTTAACAAAGAATCAGGGACGAAATTAGGCAAGTAACGCCGGAAATATTACAAAATGTTCGGAATGCTATTTATAATCGATTGGGATATTGTCAACAACAAGGTGAAGAACACTTTGAACATTTATTGCATTAAAGTAGTTTCAGTAACTATTTAATTATTTCATTTTGTTCCGACACGTTGCTTATAGAAAGTAACAAAAAAAAATGTAATTGTATTTGTAATTAAAAACGCTTTCAAATAAAAAATTAATCAACCTACCCTTCCATTAAAAAAAAGTTGAAGGTGTCTGTAACCCTCCGATTATTAAAAAGATAAACAAATCTCTTTGTAATATGCCCCATTAAAAATAAAAATTGACGTGTTGCAGGAATTGATACCTAACGTATACAGATTTTTTACGAACTTTTTATGTAGGTACATTATATTTATTTAAAATTTAAAATTTTTATGATTTAATTAATAAATAAGGAATACCCTAATTATCTTATCCATATTTTTAGCCAAAAATAAAAAGAATATGTGTACCTATTATTTTCTTGTACAGTTAATAAATGTAAAACCAAGAAGCTGTCAGAATTATAACGGAAAATTGTAATGCAAATTGACAAAACTAATTTATTGGGTCAGTACATTAAAAAAAAAGTAAAAATGATTTTAAAAAAGTGGACAAATGATTTTAAATTTAAAAAAAATCAATAAAATATATAAAGAAGTTTTATCAAATTCCATATATAAATGTAGAGTAGGATTATTAACGAATTCCAAAAAATCTGATGTGTCCAACACATGACTTTCCTATCTAGTTAACCTATTGCAGCATCTCTAAAAATGTTTAGAGGATAAACTAAATATATACATTTTCCACATACATCTATCTCGAAACATTTTTCTATAGATATTCATTGAAAACGAAAATACTGAAAAATTTTAATTTAGCACTTTTCCTCCAATTTTTCCATTACGGTCCATTTTAGAAAAGTCATTTAAAAACAAAAATTATAGAGATCGATATCGCAAACAACTTTTAGATTAACAATTTTCTTAAAAATCGGAATTTTGCACATTTTGTCAAATTTCTCGAATACGGACCATTTCAGGAAAATTTGACATAAAACAAAAATTATAGATAATAATATTGTAAGTAACTTTTATTTAAAGAATTTTCTTCCCCAAACGTAAATAACGAATATATTCCATAAAATATAAAAATGACCACCAATAAAGTACCCCCCCAAATGTTTTGACTCTGTCCAAAATCTAATCAGTTTACCTCAGGTCGAAATAAAACTTAAGTTTAAAATTTAATGTTTTTTCCTTTATCCGTTTTTGAGTTTTCTTCAAAATTCGAAATTTACACATTTTCTCAAATCTCTCGAATACGGTCCATTTTAGAGAAATTATTTATAGGATAAAAATTATAGAGAATTATATTACAAACAACTTTTATTTGAACAATTTTTATAAAAAATTATTTTTTTTACATTTTGTCAAATTTCTCGAATACGGACCATTTTAGGAAAATTTTGCATAAAACAAAAATTATAGATAATTCTATAAGAAGTAACTTTTATTTGAAGAATTTTCTTCTCCAAACGTAAATAACAGATATATTCCATAAAATATAAAAATGACCACCTATAAAGTACCCCCCCAGATGTTCCGACTCTGCCCAAAATCTAATCAGCTCATTGGACGCTGAAACAAAGCTTAAGTTTAAAATTTGGTGTTTTTCTGTGTATCGGTTCATGAGTTATGCGACCTACAGACACACACACACACACACACACACACACACACACACACACACACACACACACACACACACACACACACACACACACACACACACACACACACACACACACACACACACACACACACACACACACACACACACACACACACACACACACACACACACACACACACGCGCGCGCGCGCGAACACACACACACAGACATCATCGCGAAAATAGTCAAAACGGATTCAGGGGACCTCAAAACGTAAAAATCCGTCGAAAACTCGAGGTCGAAAATCATGATTCCTATACTTTCCTTACCTATATCTGTATACAGATAGGAAAGTAAAAAGGCGGAGGTTTTCAATTCGTCTGAATATTTTTTAAAGTGTGTTCAGCGATAGTTATTTACCACGAACCCCGATTTTTATAATTTTTATTTATTTAGAAAGGGTGGTCCCTTCTATATTTGTTCAAGATCTAATGATGTAGTCTATGATAAAATCAGCAAACTCAATTTGTTATGACATCTACACGATTTTTAAAATTACTTTTATAACTTGTAATGAATTTAAATTACATATTTCGGTAGACACAAATTTCGCTACTTAAACAAAATTAAAAGCTGAAAATACCTTAATTAGGCTAAGAAAATTAAATGTAAGAGCTCAATGATGTCATGAACATCTTTCTACCATGTCAAATGTTTTTGCATAATATTATCATATTCAGTTTAGTTGTTGTATTAAGACTTAATAATTAAGTTTATTGAAAAGCGAATAAAACTCTACAAACACAAATTAATGTTTTGTGTTTAATTTATTTTTCCATTTGGAAATCTTCACATTAATATTTGCTAAACTGTAACGTATTTGAAAATATTAACGTGAATTTCACACCAACATTCTGTAATCAATCAAGTCAAGATAGTTTTAATCGTTACTATGACAACAAGGAAGACTTCCAGAAATCATTTTTATCCTGGTTACCCTAAGCGTGATTACACTAATTATCTTTATATCAAATGCACAGCTTACTTCTCTTTTTTATATTTATTAAAAAACCATTTGCAAGCATTTACTAATCGTTCGCAATCTTCCATTTTCAATATAAATGCGAGCACTTATAGATAATTTGCTAGGATATGTTAAAAACCTATAATAGTTATGATTATTATAAGTATTAAACGATTCATAAACTAAAAAAACCGTTAAAAAATATGTCATTACGGACCAGTCTATATAGAGCATTCGCTCCCAAAAGACAAGAATTCACGTCGTTCATCAGGATGCTGATTCTTTCTGTTAGTCCAGCCTTAAGAGGAAAAACGGAACAGTAAAGATTCTGAAATGAAAAACGTCTATTGCAGTTCACGATGGGTGCAAGAAGCGCTATAATATTGAGACATTAATAGCAGCTACGTCTCTACGTAGAGATAGCGAGACCTCTTTTCCAGCTATACAGCGGAGATCTGTGGAAGTAACATTTTCATTTGTTATATGTTGCGGTGAAATTACAGCAGAGTTTTTAGCACAAACAGACTCGTTTACGGGATCTTAATAAATCGTACATATCGTGCGTATATTGACTATGGAAGATACAGTTTTCCAACGTGCTCAACTTCGTGGAGATGAATGGGGCTAAGCTATTGATAAGCGTTTAGAAGGTGCGATTGATTTAGTTGGAGCTGAAATTATAGCATGCCCCTTTCGTGGTAAAAAGGCAAAAAGAAGGACGGAATTCAGAAGATCTTGATGCTGCTATGCAGTATATTTAATCGAATCTTGAAAGAAATCCGGACGAATGTCAGTTTTCTTTCGATGACTTAATGGGCAATATTGAAGGCGATTTTTAGCCTCACATAAAAACTATAAAAGCACAGCTCCTGCAGAAATAAGGTGACAATATTTTGATTGCTACCACTACCAACAAATCACCTGTCGTTTGCTTTCGAAATACTGGTTACAAGATATTAACAAATGCTTGGTATAATGAAATGAAATCAAATAAAAAAGAAGAACGTCAACGCATTGTAGAAACAGTTGCGTTAATCATATTAAAGGACATTCGGTTCCAAGTATATGAAACGACACATTTTCCTCCATCTGATAACTTTTTCCAAGGTATCGAATCCGATATTCCTTCGACTCTGCGTATTTTTATGGCCAAAGTCACAGTTTCGAAAAACCGCGGCTCATAAGTAAAGTGGAAAAAATCTGATGTGTCCAACACATGACTTTCCTATCCAGTTATTATAGGTTTTTTCCGGTTATTTTGTACAATCTATTGCAGCACCTTTATAAATGTTTAGAGGATAAACTAAATATATACATTTTCCACATACATCTAAATCGAAACATTTTTCTATAGATATTCATTGAAAACGAAAATACTGAAAAATTTTAATTTAGCACTTTTCCTTCAATTTTTTCAATACGGTCCATTTTAGAAAAATCATAAAAAACAAAAATTATAGACATCGATATCACAAATAACTTTTATTTAAACAATTTTCCTAAAAATTTGAATTTTATTACATTTTGTCAAATTTCTCGAATACGGACCATTTTAAAAAAAAAATGTATAGAACCAAAATTATAGATAATAGTATTGTAAGTAATTTTTATCCGAACAATTTTCTTCTCCAAACATCAATAACAGATATATTCCATAAAATATAAAAACGGCCTCCTATAAAGTAACCCCCAAATGTTCCGCCTTCGTCCAAAATCTAATCATTTCACCTCAGGCCGAAATAAAACTTAAGTTTAAAATTTAATGTTTTTTCCTTTATCCGTTTTTGAGTTTTCTTCAAAATTCGAAATTTACACATTTTCTCAAATATCTCGAATACGGCCCATTTTAGAAAAATTATGTATGGGACAAAAATTATAGAGAATTATATTACAAACAACTTTCATTTAAACAATTTTTATAAAAAAATAATTTTTTTACATTTTGTCAAATTTCTCGAATACGGACCATTTTAGGAAAATTTTGTATAGAACAAAAATTATAGATAATAACATTATAAGTAACTTTTATTTGAAGAATTTTCTTCTACAAACGTAAATAACGGATATATTTAATAAAATATAAAAATGACCACCAATAAAGTACCCCCCCCCCCCCAAATGTTCCGACTCTGATGGGAACCAAATTTGTAGGGAAACTTATGCACCTTAATTTATAGAGTGATTTTTGTTTTAATAGCAACGAGTAACAAGATATCTTGAAAAACTTTTTTTCACAATTTATTATAATATGGCGGCAACGGCGGCAAAGTTATGAGGTGGCAAAATAAAAAATCGAAAAGGGCAATTAAAAATACATAAAATTGTCAAATATCAAAACTTCCGCAAATTTTTCCAGCTAAAGGCAATATACAGCACGTAATTATTGGAGTATCCATTAATCTGACATTAGAGATCTAAATGGCAATTAAAATATTCTTGACTCTGCTGATGAATCTTTAACCAAACTATCAAAAACTTATCTTAAAACTATTTAGGCAGTCAATTATTGTGATAACATCATTTTTCAAACATATGTTATCCCTATACTTCCAAGATTATTCCTTATACTTTTATATTTCTAATGGATCTAGGAGTGGACAATCTCGTAAAGCACAAGATATCATTATGTCCTCAAGGTCTTTCAAATAATACTATATAAAAATAAAGCGAATGCAATAAATACTGAAAAATAAATCATTTACCACATTTTTTTTAAATTAAATGACATTAGGATGGTAACAACAGGTGATAATAGTTCAGTACACGCTAAGCGAGTCCTCTCCCTACTACCTTCATGATTAAATACAATGTTACCATGTCACAAATTATTGTTTTAAGATCTCATAGAGATTTTCTGTTAAAAAAATTAATATTAACAATAATTGAAATGTTTTTTTTTTTGAGAATTTATTTCACATTCAGTTCAGAGGCATTCCATTTCCATGACACTAACATTTATTTTTGCACTGAATCATGTCTGTCTGTATTTCACTTTTTCCAATTAATATTATATTTGTATTTAATTTAATTTTCCAGTAACAACTTCTACGACAACCAAAGAATACCAGGTTATGACTCATCAACTCACGTACCATCAGCTAAAGATGGCACAGGTGGCAGTTATCAAAACCATCTACCGTATCCTTTCTACGGCGAGACACCGTACCAAATCAAACAAGAAAACACATACAGCAACTGTAGATTCAACATAAATCAAAGCTATTTTAGCCCGGATGCAGGACCGGACAATTCTCTTAGTCCACCGCCCGTGAACCGTAATTATATGGTTAATAATTTTAATAGTACTCAGACTGTTAATGCGAACCAGAGTCAGTTTGACAGCTGTAGGCAGTATGGAGAAAATGCGGTTAGTGAGGAAAAGGAAACGAATAGATGCCAGGAAGCTGATAGTGTAGCTACGCAAGAAAAAGTAAGTATTAAGTATAGTAAATCATTCATTTTCAATATTGTGGCAATCTTTTATAAGAAAACTAAGTTATTTCTATAGATTTTTTATTGTTGTTTTTAAAAGGGGTTACTAGTTTCTAAGGGCAATCATCAAGCCATTATTTTTTATACCCAAGTGTAGGTCAGAAATTCATTATCTTAAAAAATTACTCTTTCAGACCTTGTCTGATGTGTTATAGTAAATGAAAAAATAAAAATAAAACAAGGATGGGAACATACGTTTAATGTAAAAGGGGGTTAAGAAGTAGAAATATTACATTTTTTGAAATGAGATGGAGTGAGGATAAGGTTCACTTGAGTTAATAAAGAAAGAGTAAGTAATATTTATTAGAATCCGTTTCTGGTATCCAAGTCCTTGAAATGGACTTATTCACCAAACCGAATACAATTTTTTAGATAATAATGACCGAGTATTCAAAAATAAAAAAAAAATTCAATAAACGTATTTATTCAAATATTAGTGGAATAATAAGACGAACACTATAGAGAATTTGAGCAGTATTAGCTTAAAAGAAAAGTATCCACCTTCTATAATCCTTGTAAGGTTGCAGCAATTTCCATAAACTTTCGTATCACTTGCCTTCTTTATATTTTTTTCGGCTGGCTGTACCTTCAAAGAAGTAGAGAGGGTAGAATGATAAGGTACCGTCTTCGCGCTCATGAGGTGTGTAAAACTTGTGCATGATTCAACCTTCCATTCTTACACACGTAAATGACAAGAAGAGGTTGGCCAAAAGCTCCAGTAAACAAATTTTAGGCTTGGTTTTGTTCAGTCATTTTGTTCATGTTCAGCTTTGTTTTTTGTTTGTGTTGTGGCTGTTTTAAGCTTTTTTGGCATCAGTTCTTTATTGACTTGCTTAAGACGGTTTTCCACAAACGGATAGTTTAAGTTTTGTTTGTGTTTTCTGGAACTTGAAAATCAAAAACAGAACACAATACCTATTTATTTTTTAAGATAGTTCCAATTTGAAAATATATAAAAGTAGTTTAAAAGATGTATGTGACATCATAAAAACCTAAAATGTACAATATTTGGACTTAACCTAGTCTGGCTTTGACATACAGATGTATACTCTACTAATAAACACATACTTATATAAATTTATCCAGCATTTCAAAATAAATTACTTAATACTAATTACTAATCTATAAAAAATACGTTATTTACTTACCTGTAGGTACCAATTTGGTACAAAATTTAGACTACACAACACGACCATTTCCAGTAAACAGAAAACAGAAAAAAAGAAAAATTCTTTCATATTGCAATATTAAATTGTCAAAGTGTTGGGTAAACAAAAACTTACATAAAATACAAATTTAGAAAAAGATTTGATTCCAGCATGAGCCAAAGTTCACTACTCTTAAACTAATTTCTGCCACAGCTGTTAGGAGACTGACGCCAGCCTGTCGCAAACATGGCTACCTATTGAGCTACAATAGGGAAAGGATTAGATGTAAGGACCTGCCTGTGGGAGGTCCCAATAACCAATAAGAAAAAATTGTTTATATGGCGTAGTCTCTAAAGACGGTTTTCCACTAAACGGACAGTTTAGTTTGTGTTTTGTTTGTGTTTTCTGGAACTTGAAAAACAAAAACAAAACTGAGACAAACCCAAAACTCTTGTTTCGATCAAGCGGACTACATTTTGTTCCAGTTTTGTTTTTGTTTTCGGTCCTTTTTCACTGTTTGTCGCGAAGAAGTCAGAACACATTTTTTCATTTTATTTATATTTATAGTACCTATTTATTTTTTTAAGATAGGTCTAATTTAAAAATATATATAAAAGTAGTTTAAAAGATGTATGTGACATCATAAAAGCCTAAAATGTACAATATTTGGACTTAACCTAGTCTGGTTTTGATATACAGATGTATACTCTACTAATAAACACATATAAATTTATCCAGCATTTCAAAATAAATTACTTATTACTAATTACTAATCTATAAAAAATACGTTATTTACTTACCTGTAGGTACCAATTTGGTACAAAATTTAGACTACACAACACGACCATTTCCAGTAAACAGACTTGAGTTTCAAAACACGTCGAAACCTTTTGATGTTACCACTGCCAATCGGGACTCGAGAAACAAAACTTCGACTGTCCCAAAACACGCCAGTCTTCAGAAAGTTTGGGAAAAGTTGCAGTTTTGTTTTGCTCTTGTCTTGTCCGTTTTGTCGATAACCGCCATTATATTTGTGATTTTTTGGGCTTTGATTTCGATTCATACCTGTTCATTATTTTCCAATGCACTATTTAATAATTGTCGCACAAAATGTTCTTAAACCGTCCCTGAATCTTGTTTACAAAATGTGCAAAACTAAATTGTGCATAGTGTCTACATTTTTTCATTAACAGTTATCATTTTACCCCTCTCCACTTCATTGTGTACCTTCCGCTGAGTGTCGTCCTGAAACAACGACAACGATGATCACTTTATATTATTCGGAGATAATTTTACGTTTACCTTAGCGCATATATTTTTTAAGATTAAAACCAACTTTTTTTATAAATAAAAGAGCAGCGATTGTTTCAACATCTAAAGAAGACCTTAGTGGTGTTACAATTTCATTCATGCTACTGAAATTTCCTATATATTCGATGGTTGATATTGGAATGGAAGCTACGGTTTTCAGTAGTGGTTTTAAATCGTCAGGTATTTCATCTTTTTGTTCACCTATTTTATACGTTCGAAATCCACGTATTACTCGATGCTCATACTTGTTTAAATGGAATAATTCTCACATAATTCTCACTTCATCATCACCATATTGAATACTAATAATTTCCCCATCATTCGTTTTCGGTTCCAAAAGTATAATGTTTTCTAACAAATCCATGTATGTCATGACATTCAGCTCATTATCATCACCCGTTGTACCTGTATTTGATGATGAAATAGAAATCATACGGTTTCTCAAATTATTCGCTACACTCTCGAAAAACTGAGTGGGATTTATGGGTATAACTTTTCCTTTATGAAGCTTAAATGCCTCTCTATGAATTTGTTTCTTGAATCAACGCAGCAGCAAACTTTGGCCCTGGAGTGGTAGCCATAGATTTTAAAACTCTTACTGTGACACAGCTTTATCCGCTTCTGTTTAATTTATATTTTGCCTTTGCAGTTGTTCTGATAAATCTGCAAATTCATCATGAGCATCCAGAAATAAAGTAATTTTTTTACAAAATCTATGGAACTCCTGTATTTTTTTAAACCATCGTACTTTGCTCTTTCTCTTGCAACTCTTGTCAGATCTATAGAGGCATTGTTAAAGTCCAAATAAAGAGCTTAATAGTTTTGTTTAATGGCATTAACTATCTCTAAGAGGAGTTGCTACTTTTTTAATCCAGTTTGATTTTTTGGGGACTGGTTATACAAGCTGTATATTTTATCAATAAATACCTTGAAATGATTTATACCACATACTTTACTTACGCAGTCATTGACAAGCGGCTCCAATCTGTGGCTTCAACAGTGCCAAACTACTAATTTTGGAAAAATAATTTGCAATCGCTTGGCAACTCCTTTTTTTTACCTAGCATAACGCAGGCTCAACGATATTTTTACAAATAATTTTTTTTTAATTTCTTGTGCAATATGGATAACAATATCGTGGCAGGTCTTATCAGAATGTAACATTTTTAATGATGCCGCGAAACAAGAGATACATTTTCTCTCGAAAACAATTTGAAGACGAGAGAGTGTCATCTCTCGAAGAGAATTTCTTGCTTATTTGAAATTTTCAATTGCTGATTGTGACTTAAAATTTAAACATCAGATTTCCAGAGAGTCAAAAATATAATAATTATAATCCACGTATTCTATATATATTAAATGACAACAAATAACACGTGTGTAATTGGGATTTTCTCAATAGTGATTTATAAGAAAAACTATCTTCAATGTCATTTATTTTAAAAGAATTTTAAATGAAAGCTGCAAAAAGTTTTTTATCGACATAAAATTTAAATTTCAAATAAAAAGGGTTATATTCATTGTGATTTCAATTTACCCTATTCAGTCAATGTTCCAATCAATTGTTGGGTATTAGAAATTTTTGAATTTTTATCAAATTTGATGCTTGATTATGGATGCAGAACTTTTTAACAAGAATTTTTCTTGTGAAATGTAAGTTAAACTTTTTTCCATTTGTATAAAACTTTTTGGGACACAATTTTAGTCTCAGATTTTAAGTTCTACAACTTCTTAGGAAACCTACAGCAAGTTTTAATATCACGAATTATTCCAGATAACAGAAAAACAAGTCAATATTATACAAGTTTTAAAGCTAATTGAAAATGTTTGACCAAATGAAATAGCGCAATAGTGTTCCATACTGTAGATGTTTTAAATTAATTAAAGTTGCTAGATTTAGCTGGCAGGTGCTGATACAAGGTATTGGTAGAGCAGAGCTCTTTTTCTTTGTATAAAAAAAAACTATAGAACGGACAGCAATCGTAATAATTTTCATTCATTCAAATATGTCTACCGTTACTTTTGGAGAAGTTGGAATGACACAGCAATTTTTAAAAACTCTCAAAGAAAAAATAGAACAAACGAACGTAAAAATTCTAACTTTCAGTTTAAATGGATATAAATAATAAATATTATTACTAAGTTTTGAAACTAGTTTCAGCCTACATAGCCATCTTCAGGTATATAAACTTATTATAATTAATAAAAATATAGAGTGACATACCTAAATAAATAAGTTGTTTTCTCCCGATAAGAAGTCATCATCATCTGTTTCCTCACTTCCCACAGAAATAATAATTGGTTCTATTGTTTCTTTTATTAACATATCAAGTTT